GATCCTCCTGCCTCAGCCTCCTGAGTAGCTGGGACTACAGGTGCACGCCACCGCACCCGGCTAATGCTCATTTTTTCTATTTTTGGTAGAGACAGGGTCTCGCTCTTGCTCAGGCTGGTCTTGAACTCTTGACCTCAAGCGATCGTCCCACCTCAGTCTCCCAGAGTGCTAGGATTATAGGCCTGAGCCACTGTGCCTGGGCAGGAAAATATATTTAAAAATGAAATGAAGGGAGGATATCTTGTATATGAGCAAGGGATCTGATCAAATTCTCTCTGGAATCCCTTAAAGCAAATTGTCACCTACTCTGCTTATTTGTAATATGATTTATCCTGGTGTTAGTGAATCCATTAATTCATTACAAGTGTTGGTTGAACACCTACTGAATGCCAGGAAACTCTTCCTTCCAGGTGCTGAGGAGAAGCAGAAAAAAACCACCAATCCTTATGGAGCTTTTATTCTAGCAGAGGGAAATACACAATAAACCAATGAAGTTGGTTAGATAGTATGTTAGAAGGTGAGAAGTGTCATGGAGAAAATACAAAGCAGGGAAGGCATGGCAGGAAATGCCAGAGGAGACCATGAGGTTAAATGAGGTAGTTAAGGAAGTTCTTCCTGAGAAGGTAACATGGTAAACCACAGGCCCACAGGCGGAGCCATGTGGCTTCTGCTTTCCTTTGAGGAGGCAGAGTTTAAAAGGCTCTTTACAATTTCTCATATTGTATCTTCCATAGTTTATCCATCAGGTAAGTTGTTTTGTATGTCCGGGGCCAGCCAGGCAGGAGAAAGTAACAGAGATTGTTATTCACTGATCTTTAGAATACTGGAGGGGGATGGGATTAGGAAGGATGTAATCCCAGTACAAAGTTTCAGAGAATTAAGAGAGTGCTTGCTAAGTAACATAATGAGAGAAAGATGGGGCAAGGGACAAAAAAACAAAATAAAACAAAACAAAACAAAAAAACCCCCGGAAGGCTAAGAGGGATAATTTGGGCAAATTTTGAACAGTGGCAGAAAGTAAGCGAGATGATAATGTAATGTATATGTTTTATGTTGTATTCTTAAGATTTTATACTTTAAGAAAGTAAATAGACCTTTGTCTTCAGATTGTATGGGGCAATTGCTTTTAACACTTGGCACAATGGGGAGAATTTTGCTTCGTGTCACAATGCCTCAGAATCGAATCTGTTTATGTCCACATGCCCTTGGCAGGAGCTGCATGTAAGTGATAATACAGGTCAATGGATCCTCTTGCCTGGTGGAAACTGAGTCTTTGCATGGACATGTTTTCCCAGGGTATATCCCTCCCACTATCTTAGAAGTCTGAGGCTCTTCCTGCCCTTTGCTGTCAGGGAAAGGAAGTAGCTATGGATCTTCCTCCTCCCTCTTCATCCTCGCTGCTCTGCACGTTGCCCCTGCCCCAGGCCTCTTCTCCCTCCCTTTGGCTGTGCCTCAGTCCCGTGCCTCTCTAGCTTGCAATGCTCTTGCATCACAAATCCATAACCACTTCCCTTTCTTTCTTTCAAAGACAGCATGGAATGTCATTTTTCTGCAGTCTCAATTATATGGGTGCAAAACATAGATTTCACCATTGGTTTACATCAATCGGTATGGGTCCCATAACGCCAGGTCTTCAGGTGGGCAGGAGGTGGTACAATGCTTTGGTTATATTCTAAGAATGTGGAACACTCACCCCAGATCTTCCTGTATTCCTGCCCAGTTGGTTGCAGGCAGAACAATATAGGAGTGGAGAGGTCATCTATGGAGCCACACTGCCTGGCATGAATCCCGGCCCCATCACGATCTAGCTAGTGTGACTTTGGGAGGCTACTTAACCTCTCTGTACCTCAGTGTCCTCGTATGTGCCTCGTTATTTGCCCATATCTACCTCCATGCCTGCTGTACTGTCAGAGCCTAGCAGGCAGAGGACCTGGGACACAGCAGACATTCACTAGATGGGATGGATCCTGCGGTGTAGTGGTGATGGCTGAACATAACATGAGAGGTCTTCTCCATTGTGAAGAATCTATTAATAATGCAATATGTAGTTTATAAACATCTAGAATTCAGCTACTCACTTTTCTTCAACATTTTATTTCCAATCCGCACTCTCAGAGCCAGTGAGAGTGTAAATTGTCTCAAATGTTGCAGAAAACAGTTGACAATATGTCACAAGAGCCTTACACGTTCAAATGATTTGAACCAAAAATTACTTCTGAAAATGGATCCTACCAAAATAAATACAAATATAGAGGAAGGCTGTCACTATACTGCAGTTGTAGGAAAAATTTTAAATGTAAATGTAAATTCCAGTAAAGGAATGTGTAAATAAAGCAACGGTCCTTTGCAAATGGTGCAGCTATGGAAAAAACATTTTGCAGATTCCACCTTCTTCTCTTGTCTGCTCGAAGCTGGTCCACAGTGGCTGGAATCACAGAGCTGTGGTGGTGTTCACCGTCTTCCCTCAAAGCCAACGGCTGATTCTGAATTATAACTGCTCTTTTCTCTTACTGTGTCCCTTCTTTCTCCCCTCTGCTTACCTCCGAATTTACCTCACAAGGGCACTGTGAAGAGAATTAAATTGAAATATGTAGAACATTCTCAGCCTCTCAGAGAGTGGAAACAGAACATAATAATTGCATTGGTTTTTTTGTTACTCCTCCTGCTGCGTTATACACCTGTCACTCCACAAGACCTGTAGTTCATCCTCTCCATTCTTTTCTTGCAATACTAATGAAAGAAAATTTGTCTTTAAAGATCCCTAGTTGACTGCCCAACCTTTTCTCTTGAACATTTATTCTATGGCCTACTTTGTAAGCTTGGTTTTAGGTTTGGTGATAGCAGGATTAATAACATTATGACACATGCCACTACATTTTATTTCTTTGGGTTCTGAACAGAGACAACATTTTCTACATAACAATTTTATTCAATACCAACAAAAATACTCATGAGTTTATATGACTAAAATATTAAAACCTGGGACAGAATTTGTTTACTGAACAAATCACTTAGAATTACCTTTAGGAGTCAGATTTGGTTTCAAGTATTTTAAAATGAGGGCTGAGTTTTAGAAGTGTTTTCATTTAAACTGTAATTAAATTATAGTCATAAAGCCAATGAATAAAATTTCTAACTATGTAGCAATATAAATTCATTGTCATTATCTGTAAGCACACACCTTATTTTAAAATACAAGATATGACAAGATCAGAAAGCAGTCTTGTTTCTCCATTTCTCTTTCTCTGGAAATAATTGCTTAGGAATCCAAACCAACAGTAACACAAAGAGAGAAAAAAGAAAGAAAGAAAAAAAAACACACAAGACAATGTTGACATAAAGAACAAAGGTTAAAGACTCTAGGTCTTTTAAAAATTTGTTTTGTTCATACTTATTTTAGTTAATGAAGAAAATGATTTGTTTAATTCTATCAACATTCATTTATTCAACAAACCGTGGGCTCTGAAGATGAACAGATGAATAGAATCCTGACTCTATCCCTTAATAATTGCGTAACTTTGGGCAAATTATTTATTTAACCTCCTTATGCCTCAGTTTCCCTAATCTATAAAATGGGAATAACATTAGTGTCTAATTCATAGGGTTGTTGGGATGGTTAACTCCCAAAGAAAATATGCACAGAAGCTTAGAATAATCCCTGGCACATATGAAATGTTCAATAAATTCTAGATGTGGGGTCCCTACCCTCATGGGGTTTAGAGTCTAGTGGCAGCATAGATGGGGTGAGTAGCGAAAGACATCAAAAAAATCACACAGCTAACAGCATCTTTACAATTGTGTTACGTGTAATATAGGAAAGGAATAGGGTGCTAAAGATCAATTTGTCAGCTGCTTTTCCAATGAACTGCAAGAATTAAACTTTTATGCCCAAGATTCTTGTTATCACACTTTTGTAAAATCAAGAACAACACCTGAAATTTTCACTATCATATATCTACTCATTATATGTAGTTATGCTGGAAAAAAAAGCAAACTTAAAAGCTGAGAACTTTTAATTTGAAGATGATGGTATATAATATTTATATATCTATGTATCTATATCTCCAGGTGTTTAAAGATAAATCCTAGTCCTTGAAGGGGGGAAATCATTCGATCTGTTTGCTTACAATCAAAACTAGTCAGTAAATTACCAAATATTTTGCTCAATTTTACAAATATTACTAAGTATTTTACTCTTCAGTATAGCTTTTTAGAGACATAGAGCTTTTCAAAATTCTTGTCTGGGAGTAAAATATAGGGAAGCATATTACTGCAGTTTTTAAAGAAGCCGATTTGGCACGGTGGACCAGAGTCGAATACATTTTTCCAATCACAAGCTATCCCTCTAAGTTAAGTTGTTTTTCTCTGGTGAAGGAGGAAATCAACACCCATCTGCACTGAGATAAAGTTTCAGAGTGTTTTTATATTAAATAATTAGTATACTAGAGTAGTAAGTGATAATCCATGAATAAGTTAAGAAGAGTTAAGAGAAGAAGAAAAGTATCCCTCCTTCAGTTGCAAATAATACTTATATTAGGATATGACAAAACTGAATTTTGCACAGAGCAATTCAACCCAGCATTTCGGAGTTTTTAAGAACTGAGCACAGTTACAAAGTTCAAAGCCCCATCCAGCAGGGTCGACTCTAGGCATCCCTTGGCAAAACTGGCAGGCCATCGCCCAGTGCCAGGGCAGTCTGAGGGATGCTGATAACCAGAGGCCCGCCTTGGGTTCGGTAACCTGGGCTTTTGGGGCCCGAGGGAAGGGACTCGCCACCCGCGCGTCGCCGAGGCTCCCCTCCTTTCCACACCACTCGCCAGACTCTTCGTGTCCTCGGGTCCCGCCTCCCTCGGGGAGTCCCCGCTCCTCGCCCCATTGGGCTTCCAATCCCATCCCGCCTATGGTTGAGCAGCCAATCAGGAGGAGGACCTCCCGAGGGGGCGGTCCGAGGGGCGGTGCTGATTGGCGGAGCCTGAAGTTGCCCGCTTCAGGCGAGGGGCAGTAGGCGCTTCAGTCTGCTGAGGAAGGAGACGCGCTTGCCGAGGCCGCCTGGTACGCTGTGCCACGCCATTCGGACGTCATGGAGGACAGCCGGGATCCCGCCAGCAACCAGATGAGCCACTGGAAGGAGCAGCGGAACGGGCAGGTACACCCTGTGCTCTCCGAGCCGCCGAGGGTCCGCGCGAAAGTGGGGCGTCGAAGAGTAACGGCCCTGGCTCCCCCGCGCGGCGGCGCTCCGAGGGGCTGTACCACTGATCCCGGGCTTGGGGGGGGGGCTGCTGGTGCAGATGGATTGTCACATTCGCGGGAGAGGGGCGAGGGGTCTGGGGCGTGAGCAGCGGCCTGCAGGATTTGTCGCCCACGGGGCGCGGGTGGTTGGCTCCGAATTTTGCACTTTTGCCAGCTGGGACAGAGGTCACAGCTTGGGGAAAGAGGCAGAGAGCTGCAGCTGCAAGAAAGGAAGTGAGGGGGGAAGTGGCAGCGGGCTCTAGCTTTGACCTTCGTAAACCAGTATCTACACGCATTCATTTTTGTGGGGTGCCACGGGGGCCAGGACCGTGTTTTATCATCTTGATGTCACCAGCACCGGACACGGTGTCTGGAACGTAGTACGCACAGCATTAAACCGGCTAAATAAAGGAATTTTTACGTCCATTATTTCATTGCCCCTTAAAAACATCAAGCCTAGCGTTTTAGAGCTGGGAGTGACAGTAGGGATTAATTAATGCGTTTATTCACACGTATTCTTTTGAGTGCCTGCACGTGTTACTGTGCTGGGACACGGTGTATACATTCCAATGAGGCAAGAACAACGCCATTTAGAAGCTCAGAGTCTAGTGTGGGAGATAGGTGCATAAACAGGTAATTACCCTCCAGCCTGGTGAGGGCTCTAGTAGGTTATCTGTAGAGTGTAAAGGGAGTGACCAGTTTGGCTGGGGAAAGCAGTTAACATCTGAATAGGAACTTTAAAGTTTTAGCTTAGTGGTGGTGGGGGAGGCATTCCTGGCCTTTTTTCTATATATATATTTTTAGTTGTCCAGCTAATTTCTTTCTACTTTTTTTTAGTAGAGACGGGGTCTCGCTCTTGCTCAGGCTGGTCTAGAACTCCTGAGCTCAAACGATCCGCCTGCCTCAGCCTCCCGGTGTACTAGGATTACAGGCGCGAGCTACCACATGCTGAGATTTAGAGTCTTAATTAAGGACATGCAACCAATTAGTGGCAGACTCAAGATTAGAACTCAGTTTCATGGGGCCAGGACGGTTGCCATACCCTAGTGGTTGCTAAATCCTTGTTCACACTGGAGTTTTCATGAATACTTGGTGAATTGAGAAAAATAGACAATGTAGTGAGATTTTCATAAAACAAAATATATTGATTTTTAAAGGACCTCCCTTGATTGTGAAACTAGCTTGCTTTTTTCTTGTTTGGGAGAATCATGAACTGTTGATTCATTAAGTCCCTGCTGTTGATTTACTGAACATAGTTGCCCATGTGAGAAACAGCTCACTCACAAAGCACATTGGAGGACTTATAATTGGAATACTGCTATCTCCTTTTGCCCATGGCATCTTAGTGCACCGTGTACATTGTCCTTTTTGGCAGTCATGTTGATGTCTTGTTCCTCAATTTTTCCTCCTGTCAATGGAAAAAAAGCCAAACTCTGTAAAATAATTTTAGAGAGATTTACTCTGAGCCAAATTTGAGGACTAGGACCTGGAGCCACGCCCAAGAGGGCTTGAGCAAGTGGACTAGGTGTGGCTGGGTTACAGTTTGGTCTTATACATTTCAGGGAGACAGGGGTTACAGGTAAAGTCATAAATCAATACGTGAGAGGCATACATTGGTTCGGCCCGAAAAGGTGGGCTATCTTGAAGTGGGGGCTTAACAGGTAATAGGTGGGTTTGAAGATTCTTTGGCTTGTAATTGGTTAAAGACATGAAGCTTTGTCTAAAGGCTTGCAATGTTTCAACATAAGGAGCTATTTATCAGAGATAAGCCACAGGACATAGATTTGTTGTATAAATTGAGGACCTGCAGATTTGTCTTGCATACCCTTAGGCCTGTTAGTGGGTTACAAAGGATGTCTCCAAGAAGGTGGGGAACATGATGAGGCATGTCTGCCCTCCTCCTCCTGGCAGACAAGTTAGTTTTAGGATATTCCTTTGGCCACGAGGGGATCCATTCAATCAGCTGGTGGGGGGGCGGGGAGCCTTAAAATTTTATTTTAGTTCACTCTCCTCTCAGTGAAAACTGCTTACTTCTTTGAGATGACCACTCCAGGACCCTCCGAAAGAAATTGTGCATATGCCTCATAGCCTACGCAGTTTTCAAATACTTTATTATGAAAAATTTCAAACATTCAGAAAAGTTGAAAGAATAGTGCAGTGTATATCCACAGTTCTACCATCTAGATTCTACAATTAGCATTTTGCTATGTATCTTTTATTACATGTTATTCCATTTGTTCATCCCTTCATACGTCCAATAATCCATTAATTTTTTCAGCACAGTTTAGAATAAGTGGTAGATATCTTTATATTTTACCCCTAAACACCAAGTATGCAAATTAACAGAGGTTAGTGTGTTTATGTTTTTCTTTTCTTTTCTTTTTTTTATTAATTCATTATTTTTTTATTCCCCGCTGATTCC